AGCTTCTTGGCCAGGGGTCGGAATTGCTGGTGGGGAGACGGGGAACTGACGAGCTGTCCTCGCAAAAACAGGACGCTGTCTAAATAAAGTTCGCATGGTATGTCCGCTCGCATTTCTATACCAGGCGTCCCCTTGTCAGTAAGGGGCAACAAAATACGCAATGGCAAAGCCCTTTTGCTAGGAGAAGCTTATTCATCCGGGGGTCGCCGTAGACCGTTGGCAGTTTGACGGCTGCTTGCGCTTGCCATTTGACCGCATCCTTTGGGAAGATTCGCGACGGAAAACCTGTGTGCTCATGCATTCGGACTCTAATAAGCTTGCCAGGGTTGGAAAATCGTGTCGTTTGCAATTCCGTCTAGGTTGTTGTTCGGGTTTCGTTTTGGGGCACCTTTTCACAGGGTGACCGGGGTTTGAAAGTGGTTTGCGCATTTTCCGGACCTTTCTATTGGGACCCCGGCTACGGTCCCTGGTGGCTTTGCATCTGGGTTTCTCTTTAAATCTCCCACCAAACGGGTCCCTTACCCTCAAAAAAAGACTCAAATCTGACGCCTGAGCGCGCAGGGAAACATCTCAATGGGGAAGGAACCTATATAGTAGTGCCCTTTTCCCCTTTTCTGGGTTCCCCTAAAATAGACTGCGGGAAAAAGTTGGTACTCTTATTCTAACCTCTCTACTGGGGGACCTGGGGGAGGAACGCCCTCCACGGTTGGCTCCCAATTTCCGTCGGTTTCCACCGGAGCGGCCGCCGTCTTCGTGGCACGCGGCCCTTGGAGCGAGGTTCAGCCGCACGCGGGCGCGGCTCGGGGTGCGGGAGCTGCGCCTCGTGGGCGCCGTGACCGCGGATCCCCGGAAGCGCTCCCGCGCGCTCTGCGACGAGGCGGTAGGGGTAACTTCCCATTCCATTCTTTCCAGTGATCCTTCTTCTAGAAAACCACCAAACACCCTGGAAAAATGGCTGCTTTATGAAAAGAACGATGACTGAAAAGAGTGGGGAATCAACACCCCAATCCCTGTCCCTTTAAAAAGGAACATCGTCCAAACCAGGTCCCCGAACCTCAGGTTCCATTTGAGTTGGTTGGCGGGTAATTGGCTACAAACGTCGGCCAGCTAACTTGGCCGAACGCCCAAGATCCACTCCCTGAGATCCATGCATGTTCAGACCCCAAGTGGAGTTTAGGTTTTTGGGTTTGGATCAGTGCAGTGGTAAACAAGCAGTTTGGGCTTTGCTTTTTGGGTAATGTACTCAAGCGAAGGCAGTGGCCGATTCGATGTTGTGTCCCCTGAGGACCAGCAAGTTGAACTCGTTAGCTGAAAGATTGTATTTTGAGGGGTGCTCAAAGTCACTTTCGGAGGTGACTGTAAACCAGACATTTCGAGGCTCATCACTTGCAGCCCACTTGGATAGGCGGCATTTTGATCCCAAGGCAAGAGTTTCGGGGCCCTTATGGTGCTGTCCAGTAACGTGTTCCCCTCAAGAAAGCCAACCCGGATTTTGGGTTTTGCATCGCTGGTTTGCGGATCTGAGCCTCGGGTTCTTGGTCGAAATGGGAAGCTCCCGAACCTCAAGCCACCCAGAACACCAAGCCGCTTTGCACCGGGGTGACCCTAAGCTAGCGACCGCTTCAGCCGAGCTCTGTGCGTATTCCGAGGGACTTCATGCTGAAATGGGTTTTGTTCCTTGTCCTAGACGCCCAAAGCCTTCGGGAGGATTTGGGAAGCCTCCCGCCTATGATACCAGGTGATTTGCTGAAGTGAGGTATGCGGCACCTCCCAAAACCCCGAAACTGGCCCAAACCTGGCAGCAAGCTACGCCTGTCCAGCCACCGCTTCAACTTGGGACCTCGGCTCCTAGGCCTCCAGTGGTGCCCTTGGTTCGTTTTTGTTTTCGGTGGGTTTGCCTTAAACATCCGCTAGCGCAAAAAGGCGAGGCGTCTAGGCCTCCCCCTGGCTGGAGGTCTAGCATGATCGTTTTGATGGAAATAGGGACGGGCCTTCAAAAGGGTTCCTGCCAGTTGACAGTTTATGGAAGGGGGCGGAACCGGCCCTTTAAGGGGCCATTCCAACCTTAGATTCTCCACCTGTGCTTGGGCATGGGAAATATGGATGCGGGCGCGCTTTCGAACCAGCTGGTGGCCAAGCCGAGCGGTCCTGATGCAATGTTCATGTCCGCATCGTGCGATACTGCAGTATATCACCCCTTCAAGGCGGCTGTGATTTTGGGGTCATTAGTTTGACTGTTTCAGGGGGGAGTTGTCCACCGGATTGTGTGTGACCCGGGTATATAAACTCATTGGATTTGTTTGCTAGGCTTCTTGGGAATATTATTTCAGTGGTAAACAACCAGTCTGGCTTTTGGTCAATCCACTCGAGCAAGTAATCTCATGCCTTCCTTTTTGGCTGCTAGGCACGTCGGAATCACCCCTCCTGGTTTCTTCCAAAGCGACCGTTTGGAGGGGGTGGGGTGGAATCTGATCGCAGGCGGCTCGTGTGACGATGGCCCTCCAAGCGCACGCCACATCTGCGGCAAAGGAGCACCGGCTGGATAAATAAACGTACCTCACTCGACCTTTCTGCCTTTTAGTTTCCCCTTTTCGGAAGAGGTACAGAAAGGCCATACATGGGTCTGTGTCGAAATAAGGGGAGCTCCAAAATGGGTTGGTTTTTCCTCGGGTTTCAGCAGACCGCTCTTGAAAGGCATCATTCCTCCTGGAAAGAGAGCCCACATGCATTTCCACAGTTTGTCGCTCTGGGTGCTAAGCCCGACCTACCCTCAAGGGAAACACGGGTATGTCACTGCAGACCAAGGTCATGTTAAGAGTGTACTGCGTGGATTTAATCCCACAGCTGTGTTTTTCAGGAAGCCCCTTGTTTTTTCTCCAAGGTGGTCTAGGAAACCCTGTTGCACCTACCATCCATGGCAAACCCCTTTTTTCAAATGAGGAGTCTCATTTCATGGTTGAAGATCATGGACTAGCCCTCACGGGGGTCCTATTTAACATCTGGGGAATCAAGCCCTAGACCAATCCATTGTTGGTGGCCACACAAAAGGTTTTTCCAAGAAAGTTGCCCCCCCCCCCCACCCACCCCCACCCCACCCCCCCCACCCAAAAAAAGGGGAAAAAAGCCAGGGCCATTGGGGTTCCATGTTACTTTGCATGGGGGCTATTTGTCGCACTTGCCTATCACTTTTTGGAGCAGGAAGTCAATCCCTAGAGTCCAAAAGAGCTCTCCATGGGATCTCGCACCTTTTGGCCTGGGCAAACAACCCTACACCCACTTTTCCCATTTGTCATCTAATTACCATATCAACCGCAGATATGCCATTGTTCCATGTTTCATATCCCATATATGAACCATGCCTGGACATTCCAACGAGTACGAGTGTCTTGTAGTTTCTGTTTTTGCCTTGCTTTACAACCCACACGCCCGCACATTGCCCCATAAACGCCTCAGCAGTGAAAACGTCCGCAAAAGGAAAGCCGCACAGCACCCGCTCACAAGAGCGAACATCCTCACAAGATACCTAAGTCGCCCCAAACCCGCCTTTTATCGTGCAACGCCTGGCCCATAAGACACAGTCCAGTTTTTTGTTGTTGCCTGTGCCCCTGTTTTATCCATCCACGCCTCAATTCGCCTCACCTTACCTACCGCGCTCCGATCGTATCGGAGAGGACCTCCTGCAGATCCAGGGCTCGGAGCTGGAGGCGGTGATCTTGGAGGTGGACCGAGCCGCCTCCGCCCTGGCCGCGTGTCTTACTCTCGGCGGGGGGGGGGGGGGCGGGGCTTTGGGGGGGAGGCGGGCTTTCGGGGGTGGAAGTGTTGAAATGCCAAAGGCAGGCGAGGGAACCACCCCTTTGTGGCGTGCTTAAGCTGGTGTGCAGGTTGTGGGTCATTCAGCTTGTCTCACAATAGGCACCCCCAAAATAAGTGTTTTCCTAAGGTGTCCATGTCAAGCGACCCAAAAAAGGGCCACTCAAAAAACGGCCGCCGGTCTCGACAAGGCCTTTGTTTATTTTCAAAGGGGTACCAAAACGCCAACAACCATTTTGGTTGTCCACAGCAACCCAGGGTTTCCACAGTCCAATTTTATGACCTTCCTGGATGGGTCATGTATATAGCCCATGTAATGTGCATACGACTATGTCTGCGGACTGGTGCAATTTTCATAGATGGAAATGGGTCTGAGGCGTTTCTATCCATTTTTCCTGTGTTCTGGCGAACTTTTGGGGGTATAACATTGTTTTCATCTGGGCAAAACCTAAAAACCTAATTGGCCCTTGCGAGTGAACCCTTAGTTTGTCCCACTTGCATAACCCTCACATTCTCCTTCTACAGCAATACCGTGAGTCTCAGTTCGTGCCTTTGTAAGGGATATAAAAGGAGTATGCAAGTGGGATACCTAAGGATCCATTCAAGAGAGCCCGTTGGATGTTGCCTAGATCTCATGACTTCCCTTCAGTTTGCCCCATCAAGGGATGGCAGAAGGCAAGTTCGGGGCTCCATTTCCAAATCTCCGGGCGTCCTCGACCATACTTTTATGTGTCTCGGCCATAAACTGCGGAAACCACCTGCTGGTTATGTCCCTCGACCATAAAAAGGAAAGAGGGTCGCAGGCATCATTTGACTGGCCGAGTATGAGAAACTTTGGATCTTATTTTTTGGGGATGTGGTTGCGCCGTTATTTTGACTGAATAGCAACGCCGCTCAATACATCGTATTTCAATCGGCGTACATGTCTGATCGTTTGCGCTGGGATTTGACAAACGAAATACTTGGAGCCTTGTAGAGCCATATTATCTGCATTCGCTTTGGTAAGGCAAAGTAGTTTCAAGCGAAGACCACACACAGGAATGTTTGAACACCATGCGCCGGGCCCCGGCTACTTTATGCGGATCATTTGGACTTTAATGGAACCGAGTTCTGCAGAACCTGCTGGTGCGTCCACGCCCCGTTTTGCTGGCTGGATAGTGGGTGCACGTTGTCATTGTGTTGTATTGTGTTGCTCGCTTTTTCTTTGCCTTCACTCATCAAGTCACAGGCTGCATGCACCCGGCGCAACCATTGCGATGAAAACATGATTTTCTTTGAAGAACATGTACCGTGGACAAACCACGGACAAATCGTGGAACGGCCATAAAAAGGCATGGCGACCACAAAAAGGCGTGGAACGACCATAAAAGGGCGTGGACCACTCCCTAAAACGGCATGGACAACTCCCTAAAACGGCATGGACAATTCCCTTGCGGACAGGCCCCGGTTGCGCCCAGGCAAAACAATTCGTCAGATATCGCCGGCATTTTGTTTGCCTTCGACAAAGCCAAGTGCGGACACCCCCCAACCTCACCCCGTTTTTTTTTTTTTTTTCCCGATTGCAACACATTGGACCTTCAAACTCCGTTGCCTAAAGCTTATGCGCAAACAAGTCACCCAATGTTCCTCTGTTCATTGAACATTGGGAGTCTAACAAATTCGCGCGCGTAAGAAAATTGCTGGAACTAGCTGGGGAGTAAGCACAGCCGGTTTGATCAGCTTGCTTGTCATAATGGTGGTCTGGCTGGCCGACAATATTTGTCCGCAAAGCAGGCAGAAAATCCTGGCAATCACCCACACTCAAATGTAGTCTTATGTGACATTCTTAGGCGCTTGGGCTGGTTGACTTCTCATCCTGCTTGATTTACCGATAGGACCAAAAAAACCAACTTTGTACAAATCCCCGTTTATAGCCTCCATTTATAGGTCTTTAACCATTTTATGGCCTCTGCTTATTGCCCATGCTTTTAATGGTCTTTGGAAGTATAGGGAATTGCAGGAAGTGGTCGTGCCGTGGCCGCATGACAAGCTGAGGTTCCTGAGAACGCAGCGGAGATGAACACAGTCGAGGACCCGTGCGAAATGCGAAATGCGTTCGCGATGCCCCCCTTTCCGGGATGTGAAGCTGTTCAGTTGGAACTGTTCCGTCCGACTTTGAGTACGGAAACGATTATGTGCGCCGGTCGGCCCCTTCATGTGGCTTCTTTGACCCCTGTCAAGGCATTCCATGTGTGCTTGCATGTGTGTGTGCGTGTGTGTTTTGCTCGCTGCTTCCGCATTCCTAACATTTCTCTGTTTGAAAGGTGCCCTTGCAAAATGTTGGCTGTCCGACCGTTTAAAGGGTTGCCCCTTAAAGGGTGTCGGGGGTGGGAAGCACCAGCGCCGTGCTCTTGCTCGTTTGCTTTTTGTTTGGCTCAGCCCAGGGATGCCTTCGAAGCTGTGCACTGTGCCTGCTTCACTTGCAACTGACCACAGGGAAGTGACATCAGTGTTTGTTGGTTGTTAAAGCTTGCTGGTGCTGAGAATGAGCTGGAATGACCCCGGAAAAATGACATCCCCAATTTGGTTTCCTTTAAGGGAATCTCCAGGTTCATTCCATTTCTCATCCCCTGCCAATCGCACCAGCAACAAAGGGAACCTCAGCCAAGCGGAACTTCCGTGCGAAGTGCGTGGGGTTCATCTAGAGCCACAAAACAAGTCGGAGGGTGTCCTCCAACACTATTTTTGTTTTTAGGGTTGGGTAAATGGGTGTCTCATTTTTTTGAAGGTACCCCATTTTCGGTGGTTTTAAAGGAAGCCCAAAAAGGACAACCACCATTGACAAACCGCTTAGTCGGGGGAAGGCGCGGGAAGGCGTAGAAGTGCTGCTTGTGCTTGTGGGCTTGTACTTGCGCGTAGCCCGAATGGGCGGCAGACCGTGTTTCTGCCATGGTGATAGTTGGGCAGCCCGAAGCTGGCGTTGATCATTGAACGCTTGATCACAATGAGAGTCACCAAAGCCTTCATACCTCCCAGACCCTGGGGATTAAGACACGCTCACCCATGACAAACGTCCTTTACGGGACTTTTGTTTGACTTTGCGGATTACAACAAGTTGCCCATATTCCAAATTACAGAGCCGATGTGTGTCGTTCCTCTCCCCAGGCACCCAACCTAACAAACCCAACCTAACAAGTTGCCCAAACTGGGCTGTTCAAGCGCGATCCTCAATTCTTGCCTTGGTGTTTGAAAGGATTTGGTTCCTTTAGGGGTTTTCTAGCAGGAATCATGGAACATCGGATCTGCCAACACTCCATTTTGAACAGCCCAGATACTTTTCCCACTTGAGGACGCTGACTCCGGCAGAACGCTACACGACTGGGACAGCGGCGGCTCTATGCGCGAGGTGCTTTTGGGAGAGATCCGTGTTTGTTTCCTGGGAATGCTGTGGGTATGATTGGGTATGGTGGTAGTCCCCACTTGGTGGTTTGGATTGGCGGTTCGGGGATTCGATTTCAGGGCTTCTTGTTGAGGGTGAATTCCAAAGCAAGAAGTTGGTTTATTCCCAGCAGTTATCTTGTTCAAGTTAGGATTCTATGTTCCTATGTTTGACCCACACCCATGTGATTCTATTGAACCTGCAATCCTTTAGGTTAGCTTCGGAAGATCCACTCGGGCCACATGTAAGTTGCCAGTGCCCAGCTGGAAGCCCAGCTGCTTCCAATGGGTCTCCGAAAGTGAGCTCCTGCATTTCGGTCATTTCAATCGTTTCACGTCAGGAATGCTTCAAGGGGAAACCGCGGGTGTCCCGTTGCTAACGCGCTGATGGCTCCCACCACGCCTTTTGGCATTCGATCAGTCGTGAAACTGCAAGCTCATCGCCCATCAGAGAAGGTTGACTTGGGTATGCAGTGTTTGAGGAAACCCTCTTCACCTTGGCAAGGGAAGCCACAAGGAAACCCACCATTTAGCTTCAAGACGACCAAGCGTCATGGGCACAAGGTTGCTTTGGGTTCTTTTGCATTCCCTACTGTATATGCCCTTTTGCCCAGTTTCCGAAACCCAGTGAACATCAGATGCCACGAAGATGTTCCTCAAGTTCAAGCTAAATGTACTTGTTGCCAGGAATCCTCCTCCCGACCCCTTAGGGCGCACCCCTGCATGGTCCCAACCATCACGCACCCCTGGGTATGTGCCCCAGTTCTTTTACGCACCAGAGAAGGTGTATATATATATAATATGAATAGATGTACCGGAGCGCATGGTTGGGTAGTCTATGGTCAACTTTTGGGTTCGCAACATTTTTGGGTTTCTTTCCAAACCGATTAACCGAAGGTGTAAAAGGGGAAAAAGGCCATGGTTGGATCCTTGAATGGCTTGAGTCAGATCACTCACATGTTGAAGATGGCTCCTTTTTGAAGCGCCTTGTCTTGTCAAAGTTCATGTGCAATCGCAAGCACAGTCCGCGGATCATCATGCTTGGCTCTCCTTTTGTAGGTTGGTTGCTATGCACTGTGCCTTCCCCAACGAGCGCAAATATTGTCCCGAACATCACCTCGCAGGGCCCCCCCAAACCAAAACGGACTGGACCTTTTGACCCTGTATCTGCAGAATGGTTCCCCTGTGAAACCTATACATCCTCTTGCTACCCTCAGAGATTCGTTCGCCATGAATTTCCTGATAGTTCTCGTCTTGAACTTGTTTTTTCTAATCTCGGTGTTTTTTAGTGAAATCGCCTCAAACTACAAAACTCTTATATGTTCGCAAGATTTCAGAATCTGTCATTTTGTAACGTTTTCCCCACCCGGAGTTACCGGCAAAACGCCCGCAAAACGCCCGCAACACGCCCGCAAAACCCCGCAAACGCCGCAAATCAGATAACGACAACACTGATAGGAAAACGACAAAACTCCTAGAAACCATTCAGAACGCCCAACACGCCCAAAACTACCAGGAAACCAACACTCCTAGGAAAATGCCAGATAATGAATCTTCAGGCTCATATTTTAAACCCCCGCGCTCCCCAGGAAAGGGTTTGAGGGGACTCGTGGTTCTGGAAAACTTGGTCTTAGAGACAATTTCTGTGATACCAAGCCTATCCCTTCAAAGTGAATCATTTCTGGGATGGGAATCAACCACTTTGGTATTCTCACTTCCTCACTCCCTGAGTTCCTAGACTTTTCCTTCTTGGGAGGACAATTTTAGTGGTAAACGAAGAGTTTGGAGGTTTTTGGGCCCATCCTCTCAGGAAGTGAGTATCACAGAAATCAAGGGGTTGATTCCCCATTCTTTTCAACCAACGGTCTTTTCAAAAACCAGCTGTTTCTCCAGGTTTTGTAGAAAGAAGGATGCCTGGAAAGAATGGGGAAGGCATGCCTAGAAGAAGGGGGTTGTCCCATGCGTTGGAGTTTCTTCGGTGAGGTGGAGGTCTACGCCGTGGTGGCTGGCCAACTCTTCCTGATCGGCCCCGCAGAGTTGCAGAACCTGCGCTGGATGATGCAGATGACGGATACAGAGGCAGGGCCCGACCTTTTGGTCTCCCTGTTGGTCAAAAGTTAGTGGCCAACCCCAAAGGGCGATCACCTTTTATTTCGGGCCTCAAATCGTCTATGGAGTAGCCGCGTCAGGGAAAACTGGCAATGCCGCTCGGGAATTTAGATAGATACACTGAGTTCAGCTAGCTTCCTGTATCGAACTTCTGCTTCAATAGAACTCCCTGTTTCAGTCGACTCCTGCAAGAAAAACACATTTTGTTGGAAGCTTGGCCGATTCCGATCGGTTCTTTTAAGGTACCCCAAATATGGACCATATATGGACCTTGGGCGCTTCTCCGCGGAGTGCTTTCCTATTCGCTAAGTACTAGGATGCCTGGTGTGCGCAAGTGAGTCGTCAGAGGCGTGCGCAAGTGAGACTGGTCCCCTTTTCCGCCAGATTCTCTCTGCACAAACCATTGCATTTGGTCTTGCCAGCCCTTTGGGCTTTCAGCATGGCAAGACTCGTTGGATGACTCGGCGTGACTGGGGAAATCGTTGGACAAGAACTGCGCCATCGATGAAACCTGATGATTGAAGAATTACTGGTTATTTCGTTCGATCTTTATAGGGGCCCTGCAAAATCCACCACCGAACAAGATTGGTGCGGATCGATTCGCGTGGACTTTGTCCATGAGTAGGGCACCTAACTTTTCACAGGCTATGATCGCTCAGGTTCCCGAATGCGGTGACATGTGGCACTCAGTTGTCCAAAGCCAACCCTTTGGCTTGATAGGATGGGTTTTCCTTGTTGGTCGGCTTTGGACAGCCATAGTGATATCAGTTAGCCTTTGCGTTCCAGTTGATCGTTTGGGTCCGGAGCCACTCTAGTGATTCCAGTTGTCCAAGCCCAACCCTTTTTGTGTTCAAAACAACACCTCTCGGTGTCCGTGTCTTTTTTGGAGGGGTGATGTTGAAAGGGGGACAGAAACCCCTGTGTGAGCACTGGCATGTGTCAGAATAGGGGACCCCAGGAATTGCGGTTTTCTTTTTGGTACCCTCAACCAACAGACGTGCACACAGAGACACCCGTGTGAAACTCCTCTTCCAGGAGCAATTCGCCGCGCTGCAAAATGCGCGTCTCTATATTGCAGACGTCAGTGCGGAGATTCAGACCAGCTCTGGCATGAAGGCCTGGTTTTTCTAGACCCGCCTGTTTTCTTCGGGTTGCCAAAGCTGCAGGTGCAGTAGAGGTCAAACCACAGGACAAGGAGCTAACCCTTAGACATTCGCGAGGTGCTCACCCTTCCAAAGCCCGGTTTTTTGTTTGCGTTTGGCTCCTACATTTTCAAAGGTCAGTGCCTTATTTGCATCTTCGGGCGAGGGAGGGTTTCTGTCTTAAATGCTTCCCTTCGGCCCCGCCACGTAAATGTAATTGATAGCCTGCTGCCTTGTTTGACTACCAGTTCCCGGGCCCTTACTGAGTGCAAGTGGGACTTCATATCCGCCAACCATCCTGGGTGTTACCCCATGAAAAGTTTGCAGCCACGTATGCTTTGTTTTGAACATACATGCTTCAGATATGTAACAGCTTACGAACATTACAAAACATCGCATTTAACAACTATGTAAATGCCCCCCTCGACAAATTGCGGCAAACTGGGTGCCCTTTTGGGGTTGTTTGAAAGGGGAGCAGAGGGAACCCCGCCCCCTAGCGACACGCCCATGTTTGGAAGGGTCCGAATATTGCGACCACCATGGGCCAGCCAGCCCTTTGGCGCACCTTACGCAGGAGATGTGGCAGGGTTCCGTACGTTTCCCCCGCACCCTTGCAGTGGCTTTAAACATCACCTTTTAGGCCAATTCGAAGTGAGATTCCATTTGGCGGGGTGATGTTCAAAGGCTTTTTTTTTTGCGGGTTCCCCCTTTGCTTGGTTTTGGAAAGCGGCAAAGAGCAACAAAAGGAAGCCACCGTTTTGGGGGTTCCTTTAAAAAAGTCGGGCCAAACGGGACATCTCGGGAGCCACGTGGAGTGCCCATCTCGGGGCCCATCGCAGGAGAGCGGGGTGCTGCAGAGATCGAATGACAGCTCCTTCCAGGTGAACCCTGACTTGCTGCTTGGCGGGTTTGCTTTGCACGATCGCAGGAGTCCTTGAAATGATGAATGTTTGGGGGCCGTTTGTTTTGGGGGTTGTTTATTGGGAGCCGACTTGAACGCGAGTTCCTCTCGGTGCGCTGATGCTTGGAGCGATGCAACCACTAGCCCGCTTGTAGCACGGCATTTTGCGGCATATGTGCAACCTTAGTTCTCCAAGCACTTGCTTTGATCTTGTCAGTGGCCGCTGTCTGGGGTAATTAAGATATGTGAGACGCCTGCTGAGCATTGTTTTTGTTTTTTGAATCTTTCCCCCCCCCCCCTCCCAAAGGAGGCAGCACACACGCAGGGGAGTCGCATGAGCAAGCAGCACCGCAGGAAGGCGCAAAGGCGAACCCCCTCCATTGCTGGCTAGATACTCTGTGTCACATCGCGATCCATTAACTATGTATTTATCAGAAAACAATTGTCCGAGTTCCGCTTAAGCTGTAGGAGGGTAGGCAGATATTTCCCTCTAATGTCGACCCTCAATTAATCAGTGAATGAGCGTTCGGGCTATCTTAGCATTTGGTTTCCCTACCCTCAAGCCTCTAACTAAGAAGATGATAAGATGTGAAGCTATGAATGTTTGTTACTCGTTGTACCAATTAACATGGGACCCCTGTCCCTTTAAAAGGAAAATCGCCCAAACCAGGACTCCCCTGAACGTCAGGTTCCATGTGCGTTGGTGGGCGGGTAGGTGGTTGCAAACTTAGGTCACCGCTCACTCCACCTGGGCGACTTATAAATAAGTTATAGAACCTTGTTATTTTTGCTCCGTGTGGTAAGTGGTTGAACCAGCCCAAAGTTTTCGTCTCACGTAGTGGACTCTAACGGGGGTGGGTTGGCTTGGGACGGTTTGGTTGGATTGCTGGCCCCCAGCCCATCCGGTTCCTTAGGTGTTTAGCCTTCTGGTTTAGTCGTAGTGTCCATGTGCCTTTCTTAAGACTCACGTAAGCCGGGGTGGATCCACGCACACTAAACTCAGCTTGTACCCTGGATGTAACTTGTGTTTGAGGGTTGGTTCCACAAAAGCCACAGCCAAACTCAAACCAAGTCCGAGGATGAGTTCGTCGAGTTCTAAGAATGCACTGGAGCAAGGCATACGAGGTGCGTGCGTGCATGGATGTGGGAGGGCATGGTTCTTTCAGTATACTGAGAGTAGGATGATCCGAGTTTTTTCATGAGAAAGGTTCCTTTGGTGTGGATTCCTACATTCAGCTGGGTGATGTACAGTATTTCATGCAGAGGGTACACTTGCTTGCCAGTGGAAGGGCACCTGAATAATTATGTGACTGGGAAGGAGGATATGTGATACCAAGGGCCTTGCCGGGGAGGGAGTCCTTGGTTTCTTACGGCACCTTTATCAGGTGTGTGTAGGCGGGTTTCGGTTTGCTTTAGAAGAAGCTTCGGTCTTGTTTCGGGTACGGTTTGTGGTGGAACTCTGTGGATTTAAGAGGAACACCGCCTTCCCAAAAGCGTCGCCTTTGTTTACCAGTGCCGCTGAGCAACCAAAGAGTCGTCCTGGAGCCACACCGAAGAATTAACTTCCAGAAGCTGAGCCTTGCACAAAGATGTGAGTTTCCCTCTTTGGAAGTTACCCCCGTTGCTCTGAAAAGGAACTCGAATTCAAATCAGCCATCTTGACGGTTGCCTCAAAGAACTAGGCACCTCCTATCCACCTCCAAAAAATCATTTAGGAGGGGTTGGGTTGGTGAAGTTTTGTGCTTGAGTTCCAATTTGGCGGCTACCCCACCGAACGGTGGGGGCAACAAACCAATTGACTGGATCCTTTGGTTTGGGGCTTCGGGTTTTAGACGATTTTCCTTTAGCCGCTAGGTTGCACCTTCGTGGGGCTTGAGCGACCTCTTTCTTCAGGGTGGGGGGATTTTTCGGCTGCTTGCCCGTCCCCAAGCCAACCTTACCGGGATTTACCCATTTCGGGGGTCGTCACCCTTTATTTGTCGCGGGCCCTTTGCAAGGGATCCGTCACTTGGCTGAAGCTGCGCGGATCCTTCATTGGGCATGGGCCTGTAGAGGGTTGCCAAATGCGAATGCGCTGAACCATGCCTTCGACAGACCTTGTCTTGCTGGTGCTCAGTAGGGAGTGTGGGAATGAACCCTTAAAGGAAACCACAAGGGATGGTTCATAGGGGTCATTCCCTGGAGAAAGCAACCTTGGTTGAACCAGCCTGTGAAAGAACCTTGCTTCAAGACAGGCTGGTTGAGCCAAGGTTAATGCAACAAATGTTCTGCACCTGTTAGCTCCCTGGGAAAAGGACAAATGGTGTGTTGCAGCCGACATTTGTCGCCAGCTCCAGATTGTTTCTCCGCTCGCACCCTTTCAAAGTGAAGAAATAGTGTACAGCGGCAAATCCCACAAGAAATCAACCCAAGCTTAGGGGTTGACATTATTATTATGTTGACCAAAAATAATGTCAACAACAATTGAGCCGGTGTTGTTCTGCTAACGTGATGGTTTGGTTCGCTGGGGACACCCCAAAAAATTTGTCGTAGGCGATGTGGCTTGAGGTCAGCTGCTCTTTTGCGCCCTGGAGCTGTGAGTTGCGCGAAAAGTGGTCGCCTCCATTTGCTGAAGGCGGTTTTTGGATTTCTGGTGAAAGCATAATGACATACCAACAGGAAAGCTCCATGTTTGGAGGCCAAAGAAACAACGCCAATTTGATGAAAGCTTCTTTTGGATTTCGAGTGCTGGTGCTTCAACTCTTCCCAGTTGACCCAGAACCAACCAGTTGCAACCAGAGACGAACGGGTAAAACGTGGAACATGTTGCATTTGGTCGGCCAATCCCATTTCTTGAATTTGTTGAAGCCGCCAAACTCCAGGGAAAACAAGGAAAAAGAGAAGCTTCATATTTTTGGTCGGAAGCCAACAATAAACCAACAATTTTCTGGAAGGACCTTATTTCCGCCCAAAAAAACAAAAAGTCCGGCGGCCTTTTTTTTTTCTTCTCTCGTTGTGGTGTGGGTTCGGGTCTTTGTCGGCTCGTAGCAGAATTAGACATGTTCAACCTGTTTCCGAGGTTTCAAAGTATGTTTCGAAAACAAGTTACTGGACAAGCATTTGCTCTCCGAGCCTTCCCTGATCGTGGAAGCCAATATGGGAAACCGCCAATGTTGATATGTTTAATTGGGGGGAAAGGTGAGGGGGTCCTCGATTTTCTTCTAGCCGGATGAAAGATGAAGAAATACGCTCAACGTTCCAGCTTCCAAATCAAAGATGCTTTGGCCAAGTGGGTCGTGTTGTATGTTTGCCTGAGCTTTAGCGGATGTCATGATTTGTCATTATCTCATGTTCGGAGCCTGCAGCAAATGGAGGAACATGGAGGAACGCTCACTTCTCCAAATCCCAGCTTATTTGAGGACACTGAGAGGCAACACGAAGTTTCCCAGAATGCAGCTTCGATGTTCCAGTTTGCGCGGGACTTGGAGGCTATGATGCGTTTGCCAGACTGAGTTGACGTAAGTTGTGGCTTGTGGCTATCCCGTCCTAGGGACATGGAGCCTGACTAAGGAACCTGCTAACCGGCATGCATGTGTGCATAAAAGTAGTACATATCCTGCACAAGTGAGGGATGACACCCTATGCATACTCGGCATACTGGGATACGCCACCTGGCAACAGTAGCAGCCTCCAGTTTAAGGCTTACCTGATCAATGATCGCGGGTTTCTTTGGGGGGAACCCTGGCAAGGAGCCCAGCATGAGCTGCTTTGACCACACCCGGGCTTTGGTGCCTCTTCGACTTCTTGAAGCCAAGTCAAGGGATACAATTGGCATGTGTCTGGTCTAACGCTGAGGATGTCCATATGTTTGGCTGTTTCTGGGGGTTATCAAAGTCAGTAGCTGGGGTGATTGTCCTTGAATCTGCCACTTTGGTGTGACTTTGAGAATGGTAAGGGAAGGTGCTTGTAACAATAAAGCAGCTCAGAGAATGTCATATGTTCAAGAGGGCCTAGCTCCAACCATGAGTACAGTATACTACCATCTGGAATTGTTCAAGGGGTATAAGAGTGAGCCTTTGCGCAAATCGACTTGTCCTGGCATATTTTTCAACATGAGTTTGCATTTTCAGGTTCAGTAAGTATGGGCATCGCACCATAATCAAGCATATTCTTGTTGCCTGAGGTGAAACGCTGAAGTAGTTTGGGCCATCATTTTCTCATCTGATTCTGATCAAACAAAAAAAGGTCACATTCAGTCTGGTCAAGGGTGCCCTGCCAAAGGCGCCCAAAGGAGTTTGTCTCAAGGCCTTTGTTTCGTGAGACGTGCCCCGCTGTCACGACTCTACCCGGCTGAAAGACGCAATGCCCGTGGCTCGAAGAGCCGGAGCTGTTGCTTTCTGCTTGTGAAGAATGACTGTTTTTGAGGGTACCTTGTTTTTTGTTTTCAGGAAAGTCAATAGGCAAGCCGCCATTTTCTCGGTCTCCTAAACAAGACACGAAATAGTCATTCGACCGAACATTGCCAGACTTGACTTAACTAACTTGTTTGACGTTCTCCTTCTACCCAGATGTCACGGTGTCCTTTTTCCGCGGTGTTCCTTGTTCCTGGTTTCCGCCAGGGCCACCTTTTTGTCACTGACAACTGAGTGTAGGTTTCCTTTATTTTCCCCGTGAATTGGCAAAGGGAGCTCTTTTCTTGCAAGGTTCCTGAGTCTGGCCAAGAAGATGCTGCTCCAGACGACATGAAGTAATTCCTTGACGCCATGGGTCATTGTTGCTATCAGCATTTTGGGTGCATAATGGCATAGCTGGGTGAGGAATAGACAGGTCATGGGCCTTGGTGACTACTGCGGCGTAGAGGGCAGACAGCGGGGGAAAGTATTTAACACCCGTTGGTCCTGAGCCGGCCTGGCCTTCACATGGATCGTTGCGATTATCCGAGCCGGGGGTAAACTCTCTTGAGCTCCGTTTCAGACTTCAGTCCCTTTTGGGTTTGGACCATTTTGGTGGCAAATGCAAAGTTCGGACTTTTGTGTTTGCCATCCACAGGGGAAGTGAGCAAAGCGCCATGATGATCCCCGCAAGACTCGTGGTCAACTGGAAGGAGGGCGCTCGATGCCGGCCATTGAAGGCTGGGGAAGGTCCAGTTGACTTACCGTTTCATTTTGGACAGCTACTGTCGCCACTTGGATGTTCGTTGCCCAGTGAGTGCTGAGCTTTCACCGAGGACCTGGGCGAGCAGCGCCGAATTTGCAATTTTAGCAGGTTCCAGTACCGCCTTTCTAGATATTTATCGACATTTTTATTGCAACCAAAGTGGGCGTTGCTCGGGTTAGCCAGCGACTCGCTGGTGGCCGAACATCCAAGCATGTCGTTGCCTATAAAGTGCCAAAGGCACCCTATGGAGGTGCCTATGGCATGCCTATGAGACTTTAAAAGTGCGGCGCTATCTCCCCACCTTCACTCCAACTGAGGATACACTCCCTGAAGCTATGGAAGCTCCCAGAAGGCCGCGGAAAATGGAACCAAGTCCAAAAGGGTTCTGGGAGCTTCCAGGGGGATGAGTAGACAAACTCGCATCCCTTTTACCCAGAAAAATGGTTCGATGACAACCCTTCGACTAGAACCCCAAGGTTTTTAGAGCCTGCTGACGGTTGCAGCTGCCTTTGCCCATGGCCAAAGTTCCTATTTCCTTTTTTGTTTGGTGGGGGGGGGGGGGGCGCGCATAGGTGTCCTTTTATGATAGTTCAGTTGAAACGTCATGGATTCCGCTGGGTTCAGTCAGTCGTTTATTCGTTTGTCGGAGCCATGGATGTTTTTGTTCAGCAGGACCTAGTGAAAGGATGCGAGCCCTAGAATTTGATTTGTAGCTCCAGCAACCAGATTGGAGGAATTTGGGACCCACCTTCCTTAGCCTGCAGGGAGTTTGTTGTCCGAGAGTCCACTGGGGAAGCCGTGTGCGAAGGGGAAGCCCACCAAGGTTTCACCACCAGCCAACCATCCGCTTCCTGAGTCGCCTCCCCAAATTCTTTCAGTTTTTGTTGGCCAAATATGGAACGTGGAACGTGTTTGCATGCCCCGGATTTGGGGCAAGGACTGCATGGGGAAGACAATGACCCCTGGTTACCATTCAGGCTAAGGTTCAAAGGTTTTTACCCGCAGGTTCAACAAAAGAGAAAGTAAGTATAGAATACAGATGAGGGGTAAGCAAGCCTTAGCGCTGCTTCCAGGATCATGTCTAACGAGCTGACCCACGGGATAACGCCAGGGAGTCCTCCAGTAAGCTTCCCCCCCTCAAGAACTTCGAATGAGTGGAGTTGCTGTTATCCAAAACCCGTGTTATTTGTTTGATCGACCCTCCTGTCAATTAACATGGGGCCTGACGGGGGGTCTTGGTTTGGACCATTGTCCTTTGAAAGGGACCCCCTGTCAGGTTCTGTGAATTGGTGGGAGGTTACTTTGGAGGGAGCTTACTTGGGCGGTATGCATGGTTGCACCGGTTCTCCACACAATGACAACGTCAAAGTCAAAAGGGTATAACATTCAGAACCGCTTTGTTTAGTTTCCTTCTGCCACGGCTCATATTTAGCAACCACATCGTCGGATTGGTGTCCTTAGGCCAAGCACTTCAAGCGGAGGTGGCGCAGACACAGGCGCGCGAGACGATGAATCAAGGTTCTCTAAAGGCTTTGGCCCAGCAATCAAATACTTATAGGTATTCTCATGTAGTCGTGGCGTGATTTGTTTGCTTTCAACTTACCCCCTGTCCCCATTCTACTTGTTTTCTGTGTGTTTATTTTGGTACTTTGGCAAGCCACAAGGTCAATGCATTTGGCAAGGCAAAGTGAGCTCACTGATAAGGAGGGGGTGATCCCTTGGAAATTTCTTCTAATTTTGCTTTGCGCATCATGACGAATTGCAGACATATATGGTATCAACCATGTGCTTTTGGTTGACGGTCAGGTATCCCTTCCAAACCTCCTTGGAACATGAGTAACGTATTAGGTTGCTTCTGCGGTGTTTCCTCAGCGAGTCCGCGAGGGAACGCCAAAGTTCGTTTTTGAGCTGGCAACACATTAGACTTAACGATGTACTCCTTCGGGGGAACAGTGCCCCCGATACAAACTGATACTCATTCATTTGCTTATGAAATGCATCATGCCCCTGCCACACACTCATTGATATTGTACACCATATATTTCATTCGTACACATCGGCTATAGGTATGTGCACACCCGTGTACTGCCTCAACACATACATAATATATATGAGCCACGGACAAAACACACGAAGACCACTTTATCAAGGCGGGGTACGTTTTTGCATAACACATGCCAAAACCATGCAAAACGATAAGGTCTCCCCCAAAAACGATAACCCTTAGCTAACACACGGCTCTTTAATAACCCCTGCAGTTGCAACTTAGCTAGCTGTGGGACCCTTGCGTGGCTGGAGCTGAAGGCGAGTCGCCACTTTCGAGCTGGAGCTGCCAAGGTGTGCTTCGTAAATACGACACTTGTACTACAACGTTGCGATTTTCGAGCTGGAGCTGCGGAAGTGTACTTCGCTTACTAGACTTGTACTACAAACTTGCGATTTTCGAGCGGGAGATGCGGAAGTGTACTTCGCGTACTAGACTTGTACTACAAAGTTGCGATTTTCGAGCGGGAGATGCGGAAGTGTACTTCGCGTACTAGACTTGTACTACAAAGTTTCGATTTTCGAGCTGGAGCGCTGTGGAAGTGTACTTCCCGTACTAGACTTGTACTACAAAGTTGCGATTTTCGAGCTGGAGCTGCGGAAGTGTACTTCGCTTACTAGACTTGTACTACAAAGTTTCGATTTTCGAGCTGGAGCTGCGGAAGTGTACTTCGCGTACTAGACTTGTGCTACAAAGTTGCGATTTTCGAGCTGGAGCTGCGGAAGTGTACTTCGCGTACTAGACTTGTACGACAAAGTTGCGATTTTCGAGCTGGAGCTGTGGAAGTGTACTTCCCGTGCTAGACTTGTACTACAAAGTTGCGATTTTCGAGCTGGAGCTGCGGAAGTGCTAGACTTGACTTTCGAGCTGGAGCTGCTTTGCGTACACGACAAAGTTGCGATTTTCGAGCTGGAGCTGCGGAAGTGTACTTCGCTTACTAGACTTGTACTACAAAGTTGCGATTTTCGAGCTGGAGATGCGGAAGTGTACTTCGCGTACTAGACTTGTACTACAAAGTTGCGATTTTCGAGCTGGAGCTGCGGAAGTGTACTTCGCTTACTAGACTTGTACTACAAAGTTGCGATTTTCGAGCTGGAGCTGCGGAAGTGTACTTCGCTTACTAGACTTGTACTACAAAGTTGCGATTTTCGAGCTGGAGCTGCGGAAGTGTACTTCGCGTACTAGACTTGTACTACAAAGTTGCGATTTTCGAGCTGGAGCTGCGGAAGTGTACTTCGCGTACTAGACTTGTACTACAAAGTTGCGATTTTCGAGCTGGAGCGCTGTGGAAGTGTACTTCCCGTACTAGACTTGTACTACAAAGTTGCGATTTTCGAGCTGGAGCTGCGGAAGTGTACTTTGCCTACTAGACTTGTACTACAAAGTTGCGATTTTCGAGCTGGAGCTGCGGAAGTGTACTTCGCGTACTAGACTTGTACTACAAAGTTGCGATTTTCGAGCTGGAGCGCTGTGGAGACTTGTACTACAAAGCTTGCGGAAGTGTTTCAAGCTGGAGCGGGAAGTGTACTTCCTGTACTAGACTTGTACTACAAAGTTGCGATTTTCGAGCTGGAGCTGCGGAAGTGTACTTCGCGACTAGACTTGTACTACAAAGTTGCGATTTTCGAGCTGCGAAGGTACTTGTACTGACGATTTTCGAGCTGGAGCTACAAACGATTTACTTCGCTTACTAGACTTGTACTACAAAGTTGCGATTTTCGAGCTGGAGATGTGGAAGTGTAATTCGCTTATTAGACTTGTACTACGCAGTTGCGATTTTCGAGCTGGAGCTGCGGAAGTGTACTTCGCGTACTAGACTTGTACTACAAAGTTGCGATTTTCGAGCGGGAGATGCGGAAGCGTACTTCGCTTACTAGACTTGTACTACAAAGTTGCGATTTTCGAGCTGGAGATGCGGAAGTGTACTTCGCTTACTAGACTTGTACTACAAAGTTGTGATTTTCGAGCTGGAACTGCGGAACTGTACTTTGCGTACTAGACTTGTACTACAAAGTTGCGATTTTCGTGCTGGAGATGCGGAAGTGTACTTCGCGTACTATACTTGTACTACAAAGTTGCGATTTGCGAGCCGGATCTGCCAAAGCTCGAAAACACTGTAAAACGAGAAGGTCTCCCCCAAAAACGATAACGTTCAAAAAAGTACTAAGGCCAAGTAAAGTGTTTCGTCCGCTCCTCATATATATATATATATAAAGTGTGTATGTCCATGTATGTATATACGGTTGGTGGAAGAGCAACAGGTTTAATTCGAGGTGATACGGGTTTGGGCAAGATGTAACGACCTCACCTATTTGGGGGTCTGCAGTTTGCCCAGAAAGACATGAGATTGCCTCGCTGAACTACTGTGTCCAAAACTTGATTGAGACAAAACGGGCACATAGACAGAGGTGGACTCGATGCCTGAGGGTGCACCCTTAGGGTCGTTCTTTGAGGTGGAAAGCCATGGCTACTTTTGGACAATCTTCCCTCGCAGGAACCCACCACAAGGCCACACCATTGGCCTTTCATTGGTGGTCATTCAGTTTCATGGTAGATGACCTAGTGATCAGATGGGCCTCCATCTTTGAAAGCAGCATAGCCCGACCCTGGCAACCCAACAGGCTTGGCCCGTTGGGGCAGTCATGGATTCATTTGTATGGAGTGTTTTTCACAGGTTGGCCGAATTTCCAGTCCACGGTTCATGGGAGGGGGCTCACGCTTTGTTCCAATGACTTCTTGAGGTGGCCTATCTGACATGGACAAGGCTCACCTTTGTTGGTGCTCAGCAGGGAAAGACCTTCCAGGTTTTGGGAATGAGCCGGTTTTTGGGGATTCCCTAGAAGGAAGCCATGAGAGGATGGTTTGGGGTCCTTCCGTTACTCATTCCCTTGACCTCTCGAAGCGTCACTTCGTTCCGAGGCAGAGGTCCTCCGCCTGCAGGAGGAAACCGCGGCTCTGCGGTCGCAGCCCGGGACCGCGAATCGACCGCGAATCGACCGCGGGACCGCGGGCGCGGGATGCGGATCGGTGCGGTTTCCAGACGTCTCTGTGGTGTTTTAAAGGGCACCAAAAGGAAGGCCATTTATTCGGGGTGCCCCTTTTTTGAGACAAATCCTGTGGTGAACTTCAAGCAATGGGATGTTACATGGATTTGTGCAAGCACAATACTCAAAGCAGGGTACTTTAGCAAGTGGCGAGCAATCATGATTATGCCCCACTTGTCAGGGTAGCAACTGCCCTAGTCACGCGGGTTGCCAGGGTTTAGCTTATAGGTGTCTCCTGAAATAGGCAAATTGAACATGATTCCATTGATGTACCAGTGCCATGGTTTTCTTCTCAAAAAGTCACATAAGTGTGCGAACTGCACAGCTTTTCTACAATTCAGAAGCAGGTTTGTGCAGGTTCTGATGCTGTAAAACATGCGCTTCATGTTTGTTTGGGCTGCCCAGGCCACCCTTCCCTTTTCCTTGAATCCAGCTGTGGGTTTTGCATCCAACAGCCAAGCAAGACATGGGTGCGTGTTTGTTCGTCTTTTGTGGCATTTGTTTTTTGGGTGGGCAGTGGGTGGAAAGGGAATTCAAGGGAAACCTCCTTCTGGGGCGTCCGCCATTTTGACACACACACACACACGCCCATGTGGCTATGGACAATCGGATTTGCCAAGCCTCCAGGCCAGATTATTTCCTCGAACGATTTGCAATGTGCCAGCCTTCCCCCCGAAGGCAACGTTACCGCCCCTGCCAATGATATGGAATCCAAGAATGCAGTCCGCCAAAAGCCGATTCCTCTAGGAACTGTGCCTGGTTTTGGGGAGGTCTCAGGTTAATCCGTAGGGGGGTAGGTTTCAGACCAATTTGAACCAATTCGCCCTTCGATTCCAGTGACGGAACCAAGTCTCGCCAAGGCGACGGCGCTTGGAACAAAGTCTGCGGCCAAGAAGAGTGGAAGAGAGGAGCTCGGACAGGGGTCTGGCAAGGCACCCATACATTGTGTCCCCAACAAGGGCTCTTTTTTTGGTTTGCTGAGTCCTTTGGGCTGAATTCAATCTTGAGTTACTCATCTTGACCCATTTATAGTGAACATTTTTCGGGGGGGGGTGTTCTGTTGGAGGTCTTCTGCTGCTCTGTCAGGGGTTTTGTGGGGGTAAATGTCTCCAAGAAGTGATCTGCCTTACCCACAAGAAGGATATGGGATACACGGCAAACAGGATTTGTTTCAAGGGTAAGGATGCTGGCCTGGCCTCCGGCCTGCCCTTTGTTTGGAGAAAAAACACCGAAACGATTTCTCGTGGCGTCAAGGGGAACTACCTCGCCCTAGGAAAGCCACGAGGTTGGATTGTTTTTTTTTTGGGGGGGGGTATTCTTGGCATATCCAACTTCAGTAGCCAGGGCTAGTTGCTCCACAAACTGTTTGCATCATGTTAACCCCAGATCGGTAAGCCTCGTGGATTTGGCTGCCCAAGTTGGAGCGGGTCGTTACCCCCTGTGATCCTGGGTGTCCATTCCTCCCTCAACTCAAGCCAAATTTTTGTTTGAGGATCCAAAGATTTGCCCAATGTTTCCGTTGGAGCCCTGAGATGCCTTTTCAAGCACTGGCTCTGCACAATCGCCCGCGCCGATTTCCGTTTTTGCACGAATTGCAGTCCAACCCCCCTTGCCCTAGCCCTCCCCCCATCCGGCACTCCCCCTTTGGTTGTCTCCATTAAGGCCTCGGAGTCAACAGGGGAAGAGGTTGGGGGAGTTGGAATCCTGAGGCGTCGTGCACACTTTGTTTCCACCGCGCTATTTCCCCGCCCCTCCGGGTTTGGGCAAAAAACGCTGAAACATGAAGACCCAATTCCTGAACAGGGCAATTCACACGGAGGTTCAAAGGATATCAGCGGTTGAAGCCCGGTGGTTTGGTGGTTAAGGCCAGTTCCCCATCACAAGAATCAAGTTTAAAGATGTGCTAGCTTGTTGGCCCAACCCTGCCCGCCTATTTGCCGGTCATCGCGGTTGTTCCCGAGGGCTTTCTTCACACGGATAATGAAACCATACAAGCAAACCCCGTGAGTGGTCCCAAGGTTTGCCAAAGCCTTCTTTGCGGGGCCTCCCCTTAGCTCGTGCAGATGTCCAACCAGGTGCCTTTGTTACTGCCAGGTTCATCCCGATCCCTTGACCAAGCCTTGGTCGTGGTTGCCTTTCTTCCGTTTGCTTTGGAACACTGGTTATTTCCCATTCTGGCTTTAAAGGGAATCAATCACTTGATTTGAAGTTGAGGTTATGATTACGTCAGACATGCGAGCCCAACCGAGTCTCCCAATCCAGCCCCTTGGCTCAAGCAGATCGCCTGACTACATTGAGGAATGCTGGCTTGTCGAGGTTTTGCCTCTTCGCATGTGCTCTTTGCAAGGACACTTTGTGCATGGCCAGCACAGAAGATGCCGTTTAGACTGACCACACGGCACAGCTCTTCTATACAGACGGTTGGCGTCGAAGCTCTAGCCGAGTATATACACGCCCAAATCAATGGTGACTTGGTTGCCTCATGAGTCAAGACGCCCTTCGACGTGTTGGGCTTCAGTCGTAGCACTCCACGGTATATACCGTGGAATGTGTTCCAATGTTCTAGCCGTATATCTGCAGCATTCTTGAGAACTATGCCTCATAAGTCGGCACCTTTCATCCAGAAATGAACATCATACAATTGACTGCTCATGTCTCTTACCATATATGCTCTCGTAAGGCACCTTCAGCAATGTTGAGGAGCAGCTTACGGAACTCGCGCAGATTCTGGGGTATATGACAGAGGCACAGCGGCAGGAAATCTGCATTGCTGATGCCAAGTTGCTGGTTGAAGACATCGGGGCGTGCCCATTGAGTCTGGAGAGCCATTTGCGAGGCTCGCTTGCCCAAAGCTGGCCTTTTGACCTTTTTGGTTTTTCTGGTTTGGTACACTTCCACAAGAAGCGAAAAGCCGACTTTTCATTTCCAAGTCTTTTTGGGCAAGTGAGGAGGTGCAGAGACGCCGAGTCCTGAAGAAGATGCTTCCTCGGGCGCTGCGATGCCAGCCCTCCGTGGGGAGGAGACAGATGCAGAGTTGGCGGTCCAGGCGTTCATTGAGGCCAAGAACGGTCAATCCCACCAGGCAACGCCATTCATCAAGCAACACGGTATTCATGTGCCGGCAGGAGGAGCCAAGGGATGGCAGTTTGTGCTGATTGCGTACGACCCTCTCGGACGGAAAGATGGGCGCAAGCTGGTCTTGACACAGAATACAAAGGATTCACAAAGGGACGCGAAGCGACTTCGACAGTTTATCCTGCAGAATCAACAGCCTGGCATGGTGAAATGCGACCGCTGTCACCAGTGGTGGGATAGACATACCCACATTCAGCACCATGAATTGGACTTGGGCGGCTGCCACGGGTTTTGCCCCACTGCAAGCAAACGAAGTGGCTGAGGCGTTGTCCCAAAGCTTTGACTTGGTCATTTTTTTAACGCGGAGTTTAAAGAGTTCAAGGACCTGGACCAATGCAAGAATCCTGGCCTGCCCATATTTCAGGATTTTGCATTAAAATATGCTTGGGACAGCGCGGGGAGGTGATTGCTGATGAGGTTGCCAGCAGCAGAACCGGCACCCGAATCACGCAGGGCATGTCTGTTGAGGAGGGTGCGCTTTACGGATTCTGGGTTTGATTTGAATGGAAGCCAACTCAAAGATACATCTTCGGGCTCCCTCCATGTGTCTTAACAAAGTTCTGAGTCGCCAGGGCATAGGCGGCAGGCGCTGGGGCTTATCATCGCAAAGCCTCCTTGCAGGTTTCCTTTGATTTTTCACGTTCAGAGGAACACCACTGGCGGTGGTTTCTTGGGATTCTTCGACCCTCTTTCAACTTGAGGTGAGCTTTGAGGGACGTGCCTCCATCATTGCAGGGTGCGTCCAAGGTCGAGATTTGCCTCCTGCTCAAACAGCCGGACCTCCACTGGCGTCCTTAAATATCTTTTCGTTGGTTGAGGGTTCCACCACCCCAAAAAGGGCACCCGTTTGGACTCCCTCCATGTCACGTCGTCCGCATTCCTTTCCTGCAAAGGTGCCATCAGCAATGGCGAAGACGAGGAGGACAAACTTAGACGGAGGATGCGATGCCATTGTGACAGGTGGGATTACAGATGAATTAACATGTGAGGCCTTTCATTTTTCGAATATTTTTGAGAGCTTTTGTGTATTAGAAGGATATATTCTGGATTGCTACACCTGTGTTGTTCCCGTTCAAGCCCTGCACAGCTGCTTTTTGGACAGTAAAAACAATGGTTGGCTGGTGCTGGCTGACTCCACCTTCAACCATGGCCTAGCCATACAATGAGTAAAATTTAAAGGGCACCCTTCTCGTACGCAGGAGGGTGGGATTTCCTGGCTGGTCAGGTTCCCAACTGTACAACTTGCAGAAGCATGTTTTCTAAGGAAGCCAACCCCTGTTGTGTCACCAAGTGGCATGAACACCAAAGTGTTTGTGGCCCAGGTAGCATGTCGTATAGGTCAGGAATACCCAGACATGGCTAAGTGCACCTGGTGAACATCCAACTATAGGTGTGTGTGTGTGTGGTCTTGTATGTATGTGCGCATTGTGTCTGCGTGTGCGGTGCGGTGTGGTGCGGTCTGGTGGTGTGTGTGTGTGTGTGTGGGTGTGGGTGTGGGTGTGGGTGTGGGTGTGGGTGTGGGTGTGGGTGTGGGTGTGTGTGTGTGTGTGTGTGTGTGTGTGTGTGTGTGTGTGTGTGTGTGTGTGTGTGTGTGTGTGTGTGTGTGTGTGTGTGTGTGTCTGGGTGTGTCTGTGTGTCTCTGTGTGTGTGTGTCTGTGTGTCTCTGTGTCTCTGTGTCTCTGTGTCTCTGTGTCTCTGTGTCTCTGTGTCTCTGTGTCTCTGTGTCTCTGTGTCTCTGTGTCTCTGTGTCTCTGTGTGTCTGTGTCTGTGTCTGTGTCTGTGTCTGTGTGTCTGCGTGTGTGGCTATATGTGTCTCTGTGTGCGTGTGCGTGTGTGCGTGCGTGCGTGTGTGCGTTCGCGCGTGTGTGCGTCCGTGCGTGTTTGTGTTTGTGTTTGTGTTTGTGTTTGTGTGTGTGTGTGACCCATTGTGTCAGGGGATTATTTTTATGCGTTCTTTTTGAATGACCGTATTTGTTGTTGTGGCTTTTAAAAGGAAGCCAACAGAAACACCAAACTCATTTTGGGGGTGCCACATCCTCAAAGGTTGGCACCCATTTTGCGTACTCATGAGAGGCATAGATTTCTTGGTTGGGGGAGAGCAGCTGACAGAGGTAAGTTCTGCAAGAGCTCATCCAATGCGCGTAGGATGTGAAGGGTCAGCTCCTGCGCATTGCTAGCCGAGCGGACGATAATGCCAGGCCAGGACGGTCGTGTCGCATGCCTCAGATTCGGAATCGGGCCCAGTTGTTCCTGGCAATTCGGCCGGGTGAAAGTAGGAGGAACAAATATCCCACAGGGTTGAATTGCCCCCTTTTCCCACATAGACAAAATTGTGCCATCTACTTTCGACCTGTGGAGATCTGGGTCAGCCCATGCTTCAAGGGTGCCACCTAGACCTGTGAACCATGGCACAAGAATCAGCAGGTCAGCAACGGAGTGTTGTTGCGGGAGCCCTGCTTGGGGAAGGAACGCGGAGGGAAAGCACAAAATTTAGGGGTTCTTTAATCTAGACACAAGCCCAAAGGGGCAAACGTCACCCATTGCGATACCTCAACCTGCATGTCAACGCATGGCCGGCCCCTGGTTTGAAAGCATGGCCTTGCGTACCCTCGATGGCCAGCAATTGACTACACTTTGAAGGACGTCAACTGTCTAAGATGTTTGTGGCAACCACTGGAGGCCCATTTCGGAACTGTTGCAGATGGCAGGGAACAGATTCAAAGCTGGCTCTGGTCTATTCAGGGACGGTCATCAACCCTATAATTAGTGACCATTGGCACAGTTTCCCGAGAAAAAGACCAGAGCCAGCAGTTTGGCAAAACCCGTCGCCGGGGGTCAAAAAAAAACAACGCAGAGCTTAGACACCTTTGGTGTCAGGGGCCTAAAGAATTAGATTGAGATTGAGGACTTCGAAAAACAAAATGAAGTCATTGTCATAAAGGTAAACGGTGTGGATTTCTTTGGCCCCTTATATCATTGCCAAAGGTTTCTGTCATTTGCTTAAACCAGCAAACATTATTCCTTTTTGCAGGTCTAAGTCTGGCCCAGACATTTCCAGAACAACGTTGGCGCGCTCCCGCGTCAGGAACTTGCAGGCCTTGTCGTCCTCTCCCGCGGACAAGGCGAGGCCCCGGTGGCATGGACACTTGGAGACTGCTTGACGCCCGGGAAGCCCTCCCCTTCAATAGAAGCTGACGAGCGAGTTTTGGAAGACGAAGCTGTCCTTTTGGGGGACCCGATCGTCCACTCCCATGACTAAGATGGCATAAATTGTAAATTTTTGTAAACGGCTTGGATCCCCAGCCCTGAAGAAATGTGAACAGGGTGATGCAGTTCTGTATCCAGTCAAGAAGCCTCTCCCCCCCCCAGTTCCCCATTACTCGTGTCTCCTTTGGGGTACTTGCAGGAAACAATCGAGGGGGCCGTGCTTTTTTCTTGGGGCTGGCCTTGGGGTTGATCTCCAGCAAAGCAGCCTGAGCCCCTAACAAGCCTAAGGAGCTTCATGTCTCTCCGTATGATTAATCTTCCCTTGCAGAATGGATAGTTTTCAAGAATAATCTTGTTTACTTCCATGATTGACGGGACGAGGGTAGATTTGTTCCATTTTCTAAAATGAATATTTGTGTTATTTCCCTTGATGGTTTTCAATAAATTCTACAACTATTGGACATGGTTCTATTTGCTTCAGGGGCTTAAGCAAATGTAGGGATCGGCACAAGGAAGCGAAGAGAAAACCCAGTTGATCACGCCTGGCTCACTGGCAATATTCAAGTCCAGCAGACCCTGGCTCACGTTTCAAGTTAGAAGCGGTGACCGACAGCGAAGGACATAGATTGAGCTGTATGGTTTGGAACGAGGCGTCGCTGGAGCAAGCATTAGCCATAGAAGCGGTGTCACTTTTACCAGACCATGGGAGAAGGATTTGGCAACGGTTTTGCTTCTGACTCACAGAAAACAGGTATGTTTTGGACAAGGAGCTGAATTATTCATCGGATGGTGTAGGTTGCTAACATACATGCCAGGCGATCTGTTGCTGCATGTTTGCTTTTTGCGTTTAGAGGTTTGCCCTTTGGCTGCTCTCAGCAGTGCACTTGGATGCCCGACGTGAGTGAGTGACTGCTCAGTGACAGAATCCATGTGCCCCCTGGGTTGGTCAGCGTGCAGAAAGGTGCCCGAAACGTCATGTCACCATGGGTAAGGGATTTGCAGCCCTTAAGGGCACCCTCACGTCTCTACGCCGCTAAAGTGAGCACTATTTAATCCAACTCCAAAAAGGCTACCCTCAAGCAAAATACCCCCACGGACCTTATGAAGGAAGGCTTCGGGAGCATTGGGAGCCTCCACTCAGGTCACTGTAGCTGCAGGCGGAAGCGCCGGGAAAGGGGGGGGATCTTGGGCTAGATGCTTGCACCAGGCTTGCGCCATGTATCTAGGTGTTTTTGGGCTAAAGTGTTAACCGCAGGTGGTCGCTTGTCTTGACTCTTTGTAAGTGTCCACTTGGGCCACCATTTTGGCTCAAGTGGGCACTTCCCTTCTGTCTTGAAATCTGAAATCTTTCTTTTCCCCTCCTATCAAAGCCATGTACGCCCCCGCCTACGCTGGTGCCGCGGTTGCAGAGGCCAAGGCGAAGGCAAAGGCCTCCATGGCGAAGTACCTGGCAAGCCTCGTGAAGAAGGAAGAAGAAGGATGGACCGTCTTGGCTGCTGAGGTCCCTCAGGCACCTGACGAACGGTTCTTCTCCAGCGCCGACGAGCTGGAGCAGGCCCCACTCATCCCAGCCAAGCGCAAGGCAGAGGACGAGCTGATGGCAGACTCATCCCCTGGGGTGGCGCAGGTGCCGAAGGCCCTGACACGCCCCCCAGGGGCATTCCTGGAGCTTCTAAACCCTCCGGAGCCGGATGTTCCCATGGAGGAACTCCTTGCGGAAGACGAGGAGGAGCCCCCTATGTCTGACACCAAATGGCAGAGACGCCATGACCTGATGGCAAAGGTCAGGGAGCCGGCGTCCTCGGAGGAGGATGAGGACCCCACGGCCCCCCCGCCGGGGGGAAGCGTCTTCACCAAGGCCCTTAAAGTCTCTGAGGGCCTTTACCAATTCAGTGAGGACCAGATGGCGGGCGACTTCCCGTGTTTTGATGCGACCACGGCCACTAGGCTCCGCCGACTGCAGGCCAAGGATGTCCAGCGGCTCCTGAGAGGCTTTGAGGGCCCCCAACTCAAGCAGGGGGGCCTGGAGCGCGTGGTCTACATCGCCAAGATGAA